TGTCTCAAAAAATAAATAAATATTTAAAAATTAAAAAATAAAACAAGTGTGGCTCAGGCCTGTAATCCTAGCACTCAGGGAGGCCGAGGCAGGCGGATTGCTCGAGGTCAGGAGTTCAAAACCAGCCTGAGCAAGAGCGAGACCCTGTCTCTACTATAAAAATAGAAAGAAATTAATTGGCCAACTAATATATATATATAGAAAAAATTAGCCGGGTGTGGTGGCGCATGCCTGTAGTCCCAGCTACTGGGGAGGCTGAGGCAGGAGGATCGCTTGAGCCCAGGAGTTTGAGGTTGCTGTGAGCTAGGCTGACGCCACGTCACTCACTCTAGCCTGGGCAACAAAGTGAGACTCTGTCTTAAAAAAATAAATAAAATAAATAAATAAATAAATAAATAAAATAAAACAAGTAAAAAATAATTTATTACTAGACTAAGAAGGGGAAAAATATAACAGCACCTATTTGGCATCCTCAGTAAGGTACTAGAAATCATGACCTCTCTGAAATAAAAACAAAAATCCATAAAAAGAAAAAAAAATCTGAGATAGAAGAACAACAGCATAAAATTGGAAAAAATCAAAGTAAATTTCAAAGACAAAGTGAAATGCAAATGGAAATTGGTAGGACATGGTAAGATTGTAAGGAAAGTAAAATTGAAAGAGCAAAATTCAAATTTGCATTGTCGGTGACAATGAGTTCGCCTGGCACTACAAAAAAACTGAATCAGCAATGGGGAGAACAAACATGAGACATTCTCTTGAAGTCAGAATAAAAGGACAAAAGGATGAAAGTCATGGAAATGAAGATGAGATGAATACGAAGGAGAGTGAACTTGAACTTGAGTGTTGTAGGTTTTCCAGAGGATTAAACCCAGAATGAATGGAGCAGAAGCACAGGATAGCTGTAATTGAAAAAAGACAATTTTGAAGCTGAAAAAATAGCATAGATATTAAATGTTTATTGTATTCCAGGCAAACAGAATGAAAAGAGATACCTACACACATTGTGGCAAAAATGTCAGTTGTAAAGACACACACAAAAAAAACAACCCTATAAGCATCTATAAAGAGAAAACATGCTCTCCCTGAAGGAACAAAACGATAAGAACGACCTCAGAATGTTCTGGGACATGACATGCTTAAGGAAAATGGAGCTATATCTACAGGATTCTGAGAAAAATAGACTGTGATGCAAGAATTTTACATCCTGTTAGTAGAACAATTATTTGTGAAGTCCACAGAAATATATGCCTGTAGTCCCAGCTACTCAGGAGGCTGAGGCAAGAGGATCACTTGAGCCCAGGAGTTTGAGGTTGCAATGAGCTATGACAGCACCACAGCACTCTAGCTCAGGCAACTCCCTGTCTCAAATTTTGAAAAGTGTTTGAAAAAAAGAATGTGAAAAACATGACAGAAGTGAGGCAAAATGCATCATTTATATTTTTCCAGAATATAACTCATTTCCTCAAACTCATTTAATGTATTAGCCCAGAGCAAAAAGATTTTGATAAAATGGGTCACTTTCAGGAAAATATAATGCCAAAACTAAGAAGTAGAAAACCAGAAGAGAGCAAACACTAAAGAAGAAATTAGAAATGATATCAAAGAATTTGCTCCTCAAATAAAGGTTCTGGAATCCGGAAACTTATCAGCAAATTCTTCAAGCTTTCAAGCAAAAAATAATTCTCATGATTTATAAATTGTTGCAGGAGTAGAAAAGGTGGGGATGACACTCAATTCACTCTTGGAACTCAGTTTAGCCTAGTAACAAAAGCTATCAAAGAGAGCACAGAAAATAAACTATAGCTCATTCTCATTTATGAATATTTTATTCATAAATATGAATATTATAATACTGGCAATAGAATACAATAAGAATAATCTCACACCATTAAGATGGGGTTATTCCAAGAAAACTGTGATGTTAAAATAATTAATTCTATTATAGTATATCAGCTTCAGTATATATATCCTAATATATACTGAAAAGCTACTCAGTAACATCCAACACTTCTAATTTTTAAAACAACTTAAAATATTGAAATACAGGAATACTTTCTTAGAATGGGAAAGACCATGTTAAATAACACCCAGCATCATATTTTATAAGAAAATACTAGAGATTTCCTACTAAAATCCAGAACAAAATAAATGTGTTCATTGTTATAATTATTAATAATCATTGTTCTCAAAGTTCTAACACATAGGACAGAAAATAGTAATAGGCAATATAATTATTATTTACAAATAATATTAGATACCTATAAAATCCAAGAGAATCAATGGTAAAACTCTTTATTTTTTTTTTTTTTTTTAAGACAGAGTCTCACTTTGTTGCCCAGGCTAGAGTGAGTGCCGTGGCGTCAGCCTAGCTCACAGCAACCCCAAACTCCTGGGCTCAAGCGATCCTCCTGCCTCAGCCTCCCGAGTAGCTGGGACTACAGGCATGCGCCACCATGCCCGGCTAATTTTTTCTATATATATTAGTTGGCCAATTAATTTCTTTCTATTTATAGTAGAGACGGGGTCTCACTCTTGCTCAGTCTGGTTTCAAACTCCTGACCTCAAGCGACCCACCCGCCTCGGCCTCCCAGAGTGCCAGGATTATAGGCGTGAGCCACTGTGCCTGGCCAATAGTAAAACTCTTAAGATTACTAAGAGAATTGAATAAAGTGACCAAATACAAGATGAATGTTTTTATACCTCAATACTTTCCTAAATTCTAACAATAAACAGAAGAGACAATGGTGAAAAATCCCCTTTACATTAGCAACGGCCACTTAAAAAGGTTATAAACAAACAAACAAAAAAAACCGAATAAATATTATGAAATAATTCTAACAAGACATATATAGTCCTTAATGAAAAAAACCAAAAACTACAAAAACATTACTGAGATATGTAAAAGATGTTTTGAATTAAGATAGATAATAAATCCTGTAGGAGAAGACTAAATTTTCTAATTATATAAAACCTCTACAATTCAATTTGTAGACAATGTAATTCCAGTTAAGATCCCAATGGGACATTTCTGGCAGGAAGTGAGAGCAGCCTCATAAAATGAAACTAAAATTTGTGTCTTATAATAAATAGGCAAGAAAAACACAACAGAAAAAAATCGACAGGGACTTCCCCTATCAAACATTAAAATACCTAATAAAAATCCACAAAGAAACTATTAGACCTAATAAATGAGTACAGAAAAGCTACAGGATACAACATCAATATACAAAAATCAATTGTATTTCTATGCACTTGCAATGAGCATCCCAAAAAGGAAATTAAGAAAACAATTTGATTTAAAATAGCATCAATAAAAATAAAATACCTAGGAATAAATTTAACAAAAACGTACAAAACCTATACTCTGAAGACTGTAAAACATTGTTGAAAGAAATTAAAGAATACCTAAATAAATGGAAAAGTATCCCATGTGCATGAGCTGGAAAACTAAATATTGTTAAGATAGCAATGCTGCCAAGATTGATTTACAGATCAATTGCACCCACTGTCACATTCCCAGTGATCTTTCTTCAGAAACTGACAAACTGATCCTAAAATTCACGTGAAAACACAAAGGAGCCAGAATAGCCAAAATAACCTTGAAAGAAACAAAATTAGAGGACTCACACTTCCAGATTTCAAAACTTACTACAAAGCTACAGTAATCAAGACCTTATGGGCTGGTGCAATGGCTCACGCCTGTAATCCTAGCACTCTGGGAGGCCGAGGCGGGAGGATCGCTTGAGGGCAGGAGTTTGAGACCAGCCTGAGCAAGAGAGAGCAAGACCCTGTCTCTACTAAATATAGAAAAAATTAGCCAGTCAACTAAAAATAGAAACAAAAAATTAGCCGGGCGTGGTGGTGAATGCCTGTGGTCTCAGCTACTTGGGAGGCTAAGGCAGGAGGATCGCTTGAGCCCAGGACTTTGAGGTTGCTGTGAGCTAGGCTGACGCCACGGGACAGAGCAAGACTCTGTCTCAAAAAAAAAAAAAAAATGATGCAGCCACTTTGGAAAACAGTTTGGCAGTTCTTCAAAAAGTTGTACAAACAGTCACCACATGACCCAGCAATTTCATTCCTACTTATATGCCCAGGATCACTGAAAACATATGTCTGCACAAAAACTTGTACACAAATGTTTATAGCAGCATTATTCATAATAACCAAAACGTGGAAAAAACACAACTGTCCATTGATAAATAGGTAAAACACAATGTGCTATATTCATACAACAGAATATTGTTCAGCCATAAAAAGGAATGAAATACTGATACATGCATAAATACATACATGACGAACCTTGAAAACATTATGCTAAGCAAAAAAAAAGCCAGACACAAAAAGCTACATATTGTATGCTTAGATTTATATGAAATGTTCGGAATAGGTGAATCCAAAGAGACAGAAACTGGATTAGTGGCTTTGAGGGGCTGGGAGAAGGGGAGATGGGGAGTGACTGCTAACGAGTAAAGGTTTTATTTCTGGGGTGCTAAAAATTTTCTAGAATTAGATAGTGGTGATGATTGCACAACTTTGTAAACAGGCTAATGACCACTAAGTGGTATACTTTAAAAGAGCGAATTTTACGCTATGTGAATTATCTCTCAATGTAAAAACAATACTTAAAGCGAAATTTTTTTTTTTTTTTTTTTTGAGACAGAGTCTCACTTTTGTTGCCCAGGCTAGAGTGAGTGCCGTGGCGTCAGCCTAGCTCACAGCAACCTCAAACTCCTGGGCTCAAGCGATCCTCCTGCCTCAGCCTCCCAAGTAGCTGGGACTACAGGCATGTGCCACCATGCCTGGCTAATTTTTTGTATATATATTTTTAGTTGGTCAGTTAATTTCTTTCTATTTTTAGTAGAGACGGGGTCTCGCTCAGGATGGTTTCGAACTCCCAACCTCGAGCAATCCGCCCGCCTCGGCCTCCCAGAGTGCTAGGATTACAGGCGTGAGCCACCGCGCCCAGCCTAAAGCGAAAATTTTTTAACCAGTGATACCTTAGTACAATTCCGAGGAGACAACAAACCAGAGCCCGACTTAGTAGGTAAAGGTGGAAGGTGTCACGAGGAAAGCGTGCGTGTGCGTGTAAGCACGTACGAGCGTGCGCGCGTGCGGAAGTACACGGAAATGGTAACAAGCGCTGTGTCTGGGTGGTAGAATTGGGTGGATGATTTTTATTTTCTTCTTTTTATTTTTTTGTATTTTCTAAATTTTCTACCATGAGTCAGAGGGAAAATAAACATGTTTTTTAAAAACAAAGTGCGTCAGTGTGTAATTAAGTCCCGGGCCGCTGGAGTGCGGAGATGAGGGGAGCTGGCAGGGGCGCTCCCGGCGCCTGCAGCCCAGCAGGGAAGGGTGCTGGACGGGGAAAGACAGGGGAGCGGGCAGCGGAAGGAGAGCCCTCGCTCCATCTCGCCTTCTCTCTGTAACCTTGCCCTGATCTCCTACCTAGGCAGGCCCCAGGCCCTGACTGGAATCTCGAGGCCATGCTCCCTCTTCCTGCCCACCCGGCCACTGCTGCTGTCCAGCCCCATACGCAGGGGTCTCCCAACTGGCCTCACTCACCCGCCCCCGGCTGAAGCTCAGGGGTCCACCGTGGACAGCTGGGTCCACCATGCTCTCTCAGAGACACCCATCTGTCTCCACGAAAACCCCGAGGAGCAGTGGCCTCACACCTATAATCCTAGCACTCTGGGAGGCCAACAGGGGAGGATCACTTAAGGTCAGGAGTTCGAGGCCAGCCTGAGCAAGAGCGAGACCCTCGTCTCTACCAAAATTAGAAAAAAATTAACTCGGCACGGTGGTGCATGCCTGTAGTCCCAGCTACTCGGGAGGCTGAGGCAGGAGGATCGCTTGAGCCCAGGAGTCTGAGGTTGCTGTGAGCTAGGCTGATGCCACGGCACTCACTCTAGCCTGGGCAACAGAGTGTGACTCGTCTAAAAAAACAAACAAACAAAACACAACTCTGCGGTGGGCCCCACTGCCTGTGAGATAGTCTTTCGCCGGTCACTGAAAGCCCCGGCTCTCTCTTCAGACCTGTCCCCCACACACAGGGCCGTCCTCGGGCAGACGGCACTGCCAGCGCGAGCGGCGAGGCCTGCACCCAACCCAGCTGCCACTTCCCAAACCCAACGTGGCTCCCCACCCCGTGCCCCATTCGGGCTTCACGCCTTGCTCAGGCTCCTCCCTCCCAGCAGAGCCTGCCCTCTCCTCCCGCCAGCTCGGCTCTAAAACCCGCGCAGAGCCTGGCACATGAGCTGGGGCCCAGCACACGCTTTCTGCCCCGTGCCCCAGCACGCGGGACGTCCCACACGCACCTGCTGTGTTCCAGCACGTTCTACGTGTGAACACGCCTCCCCCCTCTTATCTGACAATAAACCCACCCGACGGCGGCGCATCGGTGCCTGGCCTGGCAAAGGTGCTCACACACGAGGGAAAGGCAACGGGAGGGACGGCCGGGCTCACTCGCTGCGGGGCACTGACACCAGAAGGACCACCCTGGGGTCAGGGGTGCAGGGTGCGTCTGTCCCTGTCTGGGTGACCTGGCCCTGCAGCGAAGCCTGGCAGGGCACGAGGACCACAGTCTTAGCCCTCGAGTTTATCCTGCTCCAGCTCCTCACAGCCGGGCTTTCTCTGCCCAAATCACCCTGCCTCAGGGTCCCCTACCGTGGAAAATGATGGCACTGAGGACACAGTTCTGGAGATGAGTCTAACAATGACACCAACAATAGGACCACCGCTCCCTGTCTGCTTAGGAGGTACCTGGCACTTGGCTAAGTCTCTCTGTACATTATTTCATGCATCTTCCAAACAACCACTTTAAGATTGCCAGTTTGCAGATTACAAAACCGAGGCTCAGAATGTTTATGATCCTTTATCCAGAAAATGGCACGGCTGGCTGTCAAGGAAAAGCAGCAGCTAATTTCAGAGAGAGACCCTGAAATCACACGCCACCTTTTAAGCTGAAAGGAGGCAGATCCTCTGGGCCGCCACAGTCCAGAGTCCCAGACTGAGCTGTGACTCCGGCGCGCCGGCCCCGGCCTCAGGGTCTCCTGGGGCTGGATACGCTGGAGGCTTCGATTAAGGGGTGAGATGAGAGGCCCCGTGCACGTGCCCGGCACCCAGCAAACTCTCCCTGAGAATCGTACTTCCCTTCTTCCCTTTGACTTTCAAGACTCACAGCAGCACGGGCACGGCCCGATTCGGAACACCTGTCAGGTCTTACCGTGGAGAGAGAGGAGCCAGGGAGGGTCCCCACCTGCCCTGGGCGGGGCATCAAGCCCTTTCCCAGCACCTCCTCGACTTGACAAAAGGGCATTACTTAGTGTCCCGACCCCCCCAAGTCCAAAACCAGATCTCTAGACCATACCTAAAGAGTATTTACCGTCTGTGCCTTGTCCCCTCCCACCAGCCTGAATTCCGATCAGGTTCTTCCCCCTGCCTCTGGCAGCAGGCAGTTGCCGGCAGGCTCTGGGTCCAGCAGGGCATCTGGCTCAGCTGGTGCTGGCTGAATTACAGAGCAATCCTGCCACTAAGCGCCCAGTGGACCTTTCATCTACGGAAGTGTGCGGCTCTATCACACAAAGCCCAGGGCCTAAGAGACCAGAAAAAGCTATGAAGAGTGAGGATGCTTGGCTCTGGTATTTATAGTGTTCCTGATCTGCCCAGAAGGCCCAGAGTCAGATGGACTCATTCTAGGAGGGCTTCCTGGAGGAGGTGAGTGCTGCATTGACATAGGAGTAGAGAGACAAGGCTTGGCAGAAAGGAAAAGGACAGGCAACTTAGTCTGAGAAACAGCTTGAGCCAAGGCATGGAAGTAGGAGAGGACAGGTTTGGGGAGTTAGGGGGAAGGAGAGGCTTTGATGGAGTGGAGTGGCAGGGAATAGGGACACCAAGGTGAAGACAGGCGTAATTCAAGGGAAGATTTGCCCCAGCTGGTCAGGGGTCTGTAGCTGGTTTCCCGTCTGAGGGTCTGAGGATGTGAGGAGCAAGATGGCTTAAGTGGTGCCATCTGACACGACCTGGAGGAGCCCTGGGCCCTGCCCTTCTCCATGTCCCCTCCTGGCCGTTCCAGCCCAGCTGCAGGCAGAACCAAGGATGCAGGGACTAGTGAGTTTGTTTCCAGCCTCCCCTCACCTGCTCCTGCCCCACACGCACCAGACGGGGCCTCCCTCTCTGTCCACTTTCTCCCTCCTCTTCCCCTCTCCTCTCCCTCCAGCTGGGACCCCCTCCCCCGCACTGCAGATGTTCTGGGGGGATTTGGATTCCAAGGCTCTGCGGGCCCCTTGCACAGCTGAGAGGCAGGTTAATGGGGCTGGGCGGAGGCAGCTGCATCAGCCCAGAAGGCCCGGTGGCTCCCTGAGGAGCCAGCAGCAGCCTCATTCCTGTCCTCCGCAGCTGACAGCAGGAAGGAAAGGAGGACTGGCTGGGGTGGGGGGCGTCCTGCCTGGGGAATAGAGCCTCCTGGATCCCTGGCCGTGATGGATCCGGAGGCTTCCTCCCTGCCCCCTCCCTCACCGAGAACTCCGAGAACTCCGGAAATTAGGAATGCCTCCAGGCAGTCAGCCTTTGGAGCTGCTTCCCTGGCCCTGGCCTCCTCCCGTGAGCAGGAGTGAGGTCTCCGCTCCCCGCTGAGGCTGGGTGGCTGCAGGGACACACATCGTCCCCAAGGAGCAGGTGATTCGAGATGCTGCTACTCTTGGCTTTGAAAGACAGCGCAAGGCTTTTTAAAAACAACACATGAGCTGGGCGCGGTGGCTCACGCCTGTAATCCTAGCACTCTGGGAGGCCGAGGCCAGCGGATTGCTCAAGGTCAGGAGTTCGAAACCAGCCTGAGCAAGAGTGAGATCCCGTCTCTACTATAAATAGAAAGAAATTAATTGGCCAACTAATATATATAGAAAAAATTAGCCGGGCATGGTGGCGCATGCCTATAGTCCCAGCTACTAGGGAGGCTGAGGCAGGGGGATCGCTTGAGCCCAGGAGTTGGAGGTTGCTGTGAGCTAGGCTGACGCCACGGCACTCACTCTAGCCTGGGCAACAAAGCGAGACTCTGTCTCAAATAAATAAATAAAAATAAAAAATAAAATAAAAACAACACATGTATTTTCCCATTTCTGTTCTACTTAGGGTGGTCTGCATGCTACCGTGGCAACACACTGTCAGAGGGTGGAGGCCCGCAGCCTCCACATACGCCGTCTGTCTGTGAACACACGGCGCAGCAGGGAGCCCGTGTGGGCCACCGAGGACAGCGCCACGGTCACCTGTCAAACCCTGGGGCGGCTTTCCCGCTTCTACTCCTGCTCAGCTCTGTCCGCTGCGCTACCTCCCTGAAAGTGGCCGCCGGCCGAGGGCAGGAAGGGCCCTTCTTCCCCGAGTCCCCAGCTCGGAGCTCCCTGGGGGTTCCGGGGAAGGGGCTGGTGGAAGGGGCGAGGCAGTGGGTGGTGGCAGAGAGGGTAGGGACCGGGAACCAGACGTAGCTGAGTTTAAACTCAAGCTCTGGTTCTTACGGATTGTGTGTGGCTGAGCAGATTGCTCAACCTCTCTGGCCCCGAGTCCTCGTTCACTGACATGTACGATCGTAAACAAAGATCGCTGGGTCCCTACCACGCACTGGCCGCGGGGAATCATGAATTAAAAAGAGACACACGCGGTCTCCTCCCCGTGGAGTCCAGAGGGCAAGGCGAGGAGGTGCGGGGGTAATGGGGGGGGGGGACTGCAGGCTGCTCTTCCAGTGCCTGAGTCTCAGAAAAGGCCTCCTGCAGGGCGAGACATCCAAGCTAAGACCTAAAGCTGTGAGAAGGAGGAACAGGAGCAAGCATTCCAGGCGGCGGGAGCAGGGAGAGCCACGAGTTGCCTGGTCCGGCTGCAGTGCGAGGCGGGGTGGGGGGAGTGGCGAGAGATGGGCAGCAGCCAGACCATGGGGTGTCTTGTGACTTAGCCAAGGAGTCTGGGCTCTGTCTTCAGGGCAATTGGGAGCCGACCGGGGATTTCAAGCAGGAGAGTGACATGATCAGATTGGTGTTTCAAGTCCCATCTGGCTGCCATGTGGGTGAGTTCGGAGTGGAAGCAGGAGCGCCTGCAAGGAGGCTGCTGCGGCCACCCGGGCAAGGGACGACGGCCGGCGGACAGACAGCGGCGGTTGC